ATCAGTATATTAGTAGGTTTTCGTGAACTATATTTTAGTCGTGTTTCGTTCGTGTTGGTCGTAATTCAATGCGCAAAATATTTTAAAATTAATTAAAATTTAATATGCCAAAAATATAATTTTTTTTTTTGAATATTTATGAATTTAAAAGGTAAAATAAATTCTAAATGCACTTTGGTTATTTACTTATTATTATTATTAAATAAAATGTAGGACCGTATTTGAATTATTTTTGTCTTTTGACTTGAATATAATTTGTTTTTTAATGAAAGTAATTAAACAGTGTGGCATTGTACCCGTTTATTATTTACCTGATGTATTGTTGACCTACCTATTGTAGTTATAGGCATTTCAGTAGGCTAAAGTGGGTAAGTTAATGATAATAATTGACTTGGATTAGGCAAATCAACAGTTCACACATTATGACATTTAATACCTAATTAATTTAAATCACAAGTTAATAAAAAAAATCTATTAAAAAAACCCAGAATAAATAAATAGTAATAAATAATTGTATACCACGCTCATCAAAATAAACTTATTCTGTACTTATTATATTTCAATTTGAATTTTGATCTCATTAACTTCCCATTACTTAATGTTTATATTTAGGAATTCGATATGGTAGTTATTTTTAAAACTTCCCGGCTACGATAATAGTTTAACTGTGTAAGTAATTACATCTTTACCTTATGGGGTATGAATAGTATTGAAAAAATCTATAAAAATGTACTTTTGTATTTCCAATAATATGGTTTATTAAGTGGTTTGATAGTAAAAACACCTATTATCAATATTGTAGAAGAGAAGTTAATCCGTGACTGTATAGAAGTCAAATTTTAATATTTGTAATTACTAAACTCAATAATTCAAATTCAAAAAGTAAAATATCATAAGTTTTAGAGTTAAATATTGGACATTGAAAATAAAATATCGAAAATCGACTCCTAATTCCTATACAAGCCTAGATAAACTCCTTCTCTTCAATTTGTATAATAGGTGTTCATACTGTAATGTCACTCAGTAAGCTATATTATTGGAAATACGAAACCAAGTTTCAGTGTTTCACTAAAATTCACATTTGTAATTAGAGTGTAAAATGTTCCGCTAATGACATATGCGTGCACGTGCGGGTGTGCTCCACTATTTATTTTATACACAGTCACCAGCACTAATAATCACTGACCCGCATGCACACCATTAGAAAATTGCCTATACCGAACTCCTTAGAAACGGTGCAACCCCTTATTGTCTATTGATAAGCTGTAATGGGGGCACGCTGTGTATCATTTATATGTTATTTTCCTTGGGCCCGTTACAGATTTCTATCGCCAATATCAGTATATATGAGCCTTAGATTGAGTTAGATCATGTTCTATTCATACTAAATGATCCAAGCTCTATAGGCTCTATAATATTTATCTACTTATTTATAGTTTATTATTAAATATTATGAAAATATTTATTGTTTTATATTTAGATGTTATTATTATAATATATTGCAAATATAACGAGATTTTAAAATAAAAAAAAGTAACTACCTAGGTATTTAATTTTTAGTTTAAACTAAACGGATGGTTTCTCAAAATAACAGGGAAAAGCCAAGTTATTTTTATAGTAACATATTTTAATTAAATCTGGATATTTATTATCTCATTATATAAGCCCACCTCTGATAGCGGGTTGTGTGTTTACCATGTATGTATTTCACCAGTTTCCTTACCCTATGCTCAAGGGCGGACCCCTTTAAATGAGTCAAAATATTTTCAAAATGAAAACATAAACACATTCATTAAAATGTTCATGTATGATGTATCTACAGTTATTCGTTTTTGAATAACAATAAAATAACAAAAGCACTACACGAAAAATCCAGTGAATATCCAATAATATAAAAATATGAACTTCAAACGCTCATAAAAATTTAATTTTTTTTTTGATAAAGGTAGAAAAACGTATGAATAATCTTGTATTACATTTTCAAATCTTAGATTTAAAAAGAAAATTTTTTACGAATTCTCAACTCAAAATAATTTAAATAATTTTAAAATTTGATTTCCCGAATGCACCAACTAGATTCATTTTCCTATCGAACAAGATACTGTTGAAGAAAACCGAAGCAGTTTTACTGCCCTAAACCGTGATGACAGACGCAAAAAAAAAAATAAAAAAAATGAAAAAAAAAACACATTGTAAAATCAATACATTCATCGTTCCACTCTGAATCTAAAATATTGTCCATGGGGGAGGGCCAGGCCCCTCTGGCCCCCTCTTTCAATCCGCCATTAAAGGTAGGTACTTAGGGCCGCTTTCACCACTACTTTAAACTCCGATTAAAGTTAAACCGGGGTTTAATCGGCCGAATTTGCCCGGTTAAATATCTGTTATCAGTCGATTAAGCGTAATCGAAGTTTAAAGTATTTGGTGAAAGCGGCCCTTAGTTTTGATATAAAAGTATATTGATCTACCTATTATCAAAGGTTTAGGCAATAACATTATTTGTGCTGAAGCTTCGGTTTTTATCCGATATTTTAATTTTCAATTGAGGTATGTGTGTTTTTAATTTGTGATTTTTCACATTGTTGCTTGAAAATTAAAATTTTGAAAAAATCACAGTCTCTTAAGCCCAGATTTCTTACCTAAAAGTTTAATAATAGGTCCATTTTTATTTTTATTCACTATAATATCAATACTAATGTCTAACAGCACACTATTGAAACTAGTGAACGAAAAAATGCTATATGGTATGTTTGTAAGATGGAGACAACAAACGCATGCCATTGGTAGCGTCTTCTTAATACACCATAATATAAGATAAAAAGAGTATGTCAGTTGCCATTAGGAATACATGGTAAAAAAATTTACTTTAAGCATTTTTTTTTTATAACTGTCAAAGAATTTAAAATTGTCTACATATTAAATTCAAATATGTTTTCAAAATTATTATCGAAGTAAAACTACTCAATAGTCAATTAAGTACGTTGAAACAAATATAGGTTTATTTTGTTTCATTTTTGTATCGAAAAACGGTCTCTAGTGTGGAATCCCCTTTTATGTTTTACTGTTTCAAACAATGTGCGTGTGCAAAAGATTTTATGCACACGCATATAAGTGGAATGGTAAACAAAAAAAACCACAAATAAAAAAAGCGACAGACAAAAAGGCACAAAATAAGCTATACAGATTACCGAGTGTCAACTCACTTTCAACTTTTTTATAAATTGTTTTGTGCAAATAATACAATATTTAAGAAAATTGATGTGAACAAAAATTGGATATAAAACATATTGTTTAAAATAAAATTAATAATCAATAATGATTAAAATAAGCATAACAAGACATTTGTTTACATTACACAATATTTTTAATTCCCGTGATATTATTAGCGGACCATGAGAACATAAATTTTGAAAAGCATCAGCAGAAGGCAAAGTGATAGGTACTTTTATTTTTAAGATATTGTTCCTATTTATAGTAATACATTCCTAACTACTAGAAATTAGAATAATATAGATAATAATTAATAATATTATATTATATACATATAGGTAATTGCATCTGCATTGCTTAGCCATGGGTAATTGGTTTTTAAAAAAATATTTATTATTGTATTAGGCATGTAACAATTATGTGTTATTACTTATTAACAATAGGCGAAGACTATTATAGGACGGTAAGTAGATAGCTATATAACGGCTACACCGATTATGTTTATCAATTATTTTATAGTTAATTGAAAACCCTAGAAAAATAGTATGTATGGAGTCAAATGTCTATCTGATTTAGATCTGACCATTCCGATTTAATCTTCATATAGTTTTATAAATTTATGTTTTATTTTATTTAATGGTTTTAATATTTTTTATAAGATAATTTGATTTTACGAATGGAAAAGGGGGTTTTCCTGTAATTCTTTGGTTGCAACTCTTATGAACTATATCAATTGTTTTTTAAATATTAGGGATAGCATTGTTATGACAGATTGATACATAGCCTAATTTAGATCTAACTATGTACCACAGTATTAACATTAAATTAAAATTAAATTCTAAATAACCACCCAAATCTCTAGTCAACCAATACCTAAATTAAACACTCACAGAACAATTTTTTTTTCATTTAGGTAGTTTTGTAATGTCTTGTTAGTTGGGTCTTAAGGCTTAAACCTAATTTTGCATGTGTTGTTAATACGTTATACAATATACATAGACTAATATAGTTACTGTGTTTCATTATTATAATGGATAATCAATAATTAAATACTCCACAAGTTAATAGTTCTAACTAATCTCATACTATGAATGAATGGTTGATAATGAAGAATCTTTTTAAACCGTTGAAATTATAAACCATATAAACCATGCACTAAGCTTTATAGATCTTCAGGGTGCTATTTAGAACGAAAGTGTAAGTATCACAATGATAACCTGCAGAAACAAATTTAAAATACTTGTTCATTCACTGGATCTTGGAAAACCCAACCAGAAAGAATTTCATTGAGGAAAAAAATACATTTATTATAACAAATATTATTTACAATATAAATGTATAAAAAAACAAAGATGAATTCTATTTGTTAATATTTTTTTGAAGTCTTATTATAAATATAATAAAAAAAAAATATGAACTGACCTTGTTCGTCAAAATAGTTTTTAGAATTATTTTTAGGAAGTGAATTAGAATTATAGTGATAATAAATACAATAAAAATTAATAAAAAAAAAAATATGTACTAACCTTGTTTATCATAATAGTTTTTAGAATTATTTTTAGGAAGTGGATTAGGACCACAATTTATATTAAATTCTTGATGGCTGTTTTATATACAATGTCTGTTAATATTAACTTATAGCCAAAGTTATATAAAATTAAATGGAATAAAATAATGATGTATTAAAACATATTTAAAATTAAAGTCAACTAAATAAATATCACGGTAATATTTAATAGAAAACTTATATAAATTATATATTTATATTGAGAAAAGCAGAATATTAGTGATTACATGTTAAACATTATTCTAGGTTTCTTTATCCTTGTGGAAACGCGAGTTGGTGTAGCTATAACATCTCTTTTCTTTCGTGTTTTTCTTTGTACACTTGCCGGATTTTCTATTACTGAAACAAAAATTAAAATAGATAACCCATTAATCGCTGACTTATTGGATACTATGTATTATCATATCTTGTAAAAATAAGTTTCAATGATTGATGTTGTAGTTTGTCATTAAAAAAACTTTACAAAAACATTAGAAATTTTTTTCCTAGTTTTTGATTGGGCAATGAATGCATTGAGGTTCTACAAACTAATAAAAAAAAAATAATAATAATAATGAATGGAAATAATTGTTTTTCCAGATTAAAGAAGTCAAAATAATAAGTTCTGTCTGTAAAACTTTTTTGTAATCAATTTTACCAATTTTATAACATTATTTTAGTGGATTATTCAGACTTTAGGGCATAAAAGCATATCTTTTTAGTGCACTTTTCAGGTTTTTTTTTAAGAAATTATACTTCCCAACCCTACTCATGTATTTTCTACTGAAAGATATCAAGTGGGTGTCGCTCTGATGTACAGTAGATTACAAGTGGGTTTACATTACTTTTTACAAATTGAAAAGAAATATTTTATAGTTTAATTAATAACTAAGTTAATATTTGTGAATAGAAAATATTATGGGCAAAGTAGGCATTTTAGAAAGTGAAAGCTATGTGAAAGTGATAATTTTAAATTTTCAAACATTTGACAGTGCAATTTTTCTTTTATTGATATTAAAAAAAAAAAAACAAATTAGGTACCTTAATAATTCAATTTTTTTTAATACCATAGATAAGTATATAATATGCCTTATACCTAGACTGACATACCGTCTCCGCTCAGATACGTTTTCCTTATAGAATGATATTATATCATTGAATTCAAATTTAATATCATCCATTATACAGTGACCTACTTGTGACCTTCTGTACAGCAGAGCACCTTTTTAAAATCTTGTGGTTTTTAAAATGTCTAAAAGTACTATATATTAAGATATTTTTAATGTAAATAAAAAAAAGGGGGACTTATAAACTGTTAAAATGTGTTATCATTTCAATGAAATATGCCACTCAATAAGGTTTTTGTTTTGATTTCTATTATATCATTTGAATAAAGATTTTATAGTTAATTTAGCCCCCCCACCCAAAAAAAAAAAAAAAATGTCAATGGATTTTCGCCAAGGAATCGCTTTACAGACTGAAGCCCGGATTGAGATAATTTTGGATCGAGGCCAAATAGTAATAATATATCCATTATCCATATATAATAGGAAAAGTACTACCCTTCAGGCGCCTACTATTGTTCGATATTCGTTTTGGGCCTGGGGCCATGGCCTCCTCATTAATCTGGGCTTGTGTTATAATGTTATAATCAACAATTATTTCTACTTTAGAAATTGACATTGGGTAAAAAAAAAACCGATGCATCACCGTTAAACCAATACATTCATCGCTCAACTCAGAGTATAAAAAGTTGATTCACTCCAAAACGCTGCCACATCCAAAAAATTCTTTGTAGGGTTAGCTATATTCTAGATGATTATACAATTGAAATATGAAATAAAAGATTATAAAAACTATAATAATTTTCAAGCTAATACTAATGGTGACTGTTGCAGTTATTTATTGTAAAGAAATAGTATTGATACTCACTACTTGTGTTTGTATTATCCAAGTCACTTGCTCTAGGATTAGTTGTTGTGTCGGTTGAAGAGGGGGTTTCTGTTGTATTATTTAACAAGACTATTGCCTCTGGTACTACTAGTGACATCATGTCTGTTTCATTTATTTCCGCTTGCTCCAGAAGTATAGGAGCAAGAGGTGCCATTATCGGTATATTATCTTGTTGGTCTATTTCCTCCTCTGGTTCTCTACTCTGTTGTATCTCATTGTTCTCCAACTCATTCTCTCTAGGGTTGAATGCAATTATTTGAGAGGAGTTTTCTGTTGCTTCTTCAGGTAGATAATAGAATGGTTCCGTTTCCATATACAACGATGATGTGTCCTCTTCAATTTCATCGATTGGTTCTGTTTTTATTTCAGTATCAGTTTGCCCTGGTTGTGGGTCTTCAGTATATGCACAAATTTCATTTGGGTCCCTACACCGTGTTAAGAATGTACTATTGGTCTCCTGTAAACGTCTTTCCCTATCTTCAATGGGTTCAGTTTTCAAGTTGAATAATGTTGCACGGAAAAATTCTACATCCTGGAGGCTCTATTTAATCAAACAAAAGGACAAAGTATTATAGGTACTAAAGAATAAAACATACTATATATATAATTATGTAATAAAAATTATATCATTGTACCCATAGTTTAATAACTGAAAAAGTCACTACCGCTCGAGATCGTGTACAGCGTGCCAACATCAAGTCTTATAATAGTGCAAAATGTATACTAAGTTTATTTTATAAACATACCATTGACATAATGATGAATACCACCAGGGACGGCCTGGCCCACCGGGATACCGGTAGGTTCCCGGTGGCCTGACCTATTAGGATTTGTTATTGGCCTGACGGCTGAATTACATTATTTTTAATTTCTTTATACTATTGTATATTATAATATTTGTAAACTATATTACAATAAAAAAATCCCAATTGGAACACCCGTAGTCCGCTAATTTCAGTATAAATATATAATAGTTAATAAATAATAACTAATAACAAATAAGTAATAACTAGAATTGCCCATTTAACATTGGTATTTTGGGATGCATAAACACATTGTTATTATTACACATACACATTATTATTATTGTATATGTTTCGTCGGAGGCCTGGGTAATATTTTATGAAACTTGTTTACCAGCTATTTTACAACATTATTATTTTTGTTTAATTGATCGTTAGTCATATTGATTACTGTTTAGATGCTTTTGAGTTTTGAGTTCATTATCGTGAATAGACTCCGCAATAGACTGTACTACTGTAGTAGGAACTAGGAAACGTGCGTTACAAACTTACATTAATACAATAGTACTCATTTTATAAAAAAATTTATAATTTACATATACAAATTATGTTGATAATATATAATATTATGCAATACTTTTTGTATAATCGTTTTTATTTAATATGAAATCTGTAAAAAGAAAAGGAGGAGCTGCTCGAGAAAAAGAAAAAAGGAAAACACAGTTGTTGGAAGTCGGGAAAAAATGTGGGAAATTAAATTCATTTTTTTCATTGAATATTACAGGTAGGTACCTATTTATGTAACTATTATATTTTAGAAGTACTCTAGTTTGTAATCTAGTCATCTAAATTAATCTCAAACAGTTAACTAAATAAATAATGTATAGCCAAGTTCCCAAGTAAGTGATGTGTAGTACATTTTTTATATAGGAGACAGGAATCCAAGCAAAATATAATGATCTAACCTAGTACTGTACCCAGAACTTAGAAGAACTCAAGTACTTTTATATTTAATTTTTTATCTTTGTACTTTTGTATTATAGATGGCCAATCGCCAATGCTTAGATAATGTAGAAAGGGTTAACAATGATTTACCCAACCTAAATCAAACCGAGCCGAGTATTTTAAAAAACAATGAAATAGAAATTGAAGAAATAAATGAAAATGGTAATTATAAATTAATTCAAACATTTGTATTTGTTAAATTTTGACTGAATGCAAACAGTTTTATGTTGAATAGGTACTCTAATTGTTACTATAATAGTATAATGGATATAAGTGCATTCTATGATTTAGTACAGTGTTTCCCAACCTTTTTACCACCACGGACCACTTCGACAATATTTTATAGGTCGCGGACCACCTCAATTTTACGCAAACTAAGGAAGACTTTTTTTTTTTTGCTCATTAACAAGAATTTATAATTTCTTTATAAGAGGCTTTTAATAATGCTTATAATTGATTATCGATATCGAAAGACATTTTATCAATACGAGCTTTCACAGTATTATTAGATAATGGAATTCCTTGAATTTTCTTTTTAGCTTCCGCACCTAAAATTTCTTTCTACGGCAGTTAGTGAACAAGGTTTTAATAAATTTTCACCAATTGAGTGTGGTTTCTTTGATTTTGCGATTAATTGTGACATTTTAAATGACGCAAATAGAACTTTTTCGTTTGACTCAAATCTTGAACCACTTGTTCCTAGTTTAATTTTTTTTTAATTTCCTGATTTACCCATGAGAAACTCTGGTGGTCGATCACTTAATTTAGGATGGACACTTTTTAAATGCCGTTCTTACTTGGCGGGTTTCAACGCATCATTACTGAGAACGGAGGCACATATAACACACTGTCGTCGAATTTCACGTTTAGTTTTGATTGGGATAAATCCAAATTTTATGTATCCATCGTCACACTTTCTTTTCAGAGCCATATTTCGACAATTTAACACACGAAAAATTAAAAAGAGCACAAACGTCGACTACGAATGATATGGAGAAACTAACAACAAAAACCAACAATATTATACTCAACTTTGAACATAATCTGTTAAATTGTGCCGATAGAATCTAATCTTAATGTAACAATGTAAAAAGAAGATTAGATTAACGGTTGAAATAATAACATGGGTTTCACTATGTAATATAAATTTATAAATAAACTTATTTATAAAAATACTTTTAAATTTTGTAAGTATGGCCTGCGGACCACCAGTGGTCCGTGGACCATAGGTTGGGAACCTATGATTTAGTAGAATTTATTTTAGTTGATTATTGAGATTTGAGACTAAAAAATAATATCTACTATACAATATTGTCAATATTATGATAATGTATCTAGGTAACTACCAGCATAGCAGCATACTACCTTGTATAAATTATATCATTACTAATTATTATTATATTAGTAATAATAATAATTTCTGTAAAGAAAATATTATGACTAACATTCTACATATTTATACATAATAAATAAGCATATTATATCATCTAATATAATTTCATAATTATCACATTGAATTTGATTATAAAATAATTTTGACCAGTGTGGCTGTACATTAAAAATAAAATTACTAATATTGGTGTTTTTTTTTCTATTATTGTAGTTGATCATGGTAATGAACAAAGTGATCTTGATAATAATGTCATTGATGCTTTTAAGAAACCAAACTTGGATAATATGTCATTATTTTTAAAACTCCACCCGTTTTAACCTACAAATGATACTGATTTACCATTTGTATCAAAAAAAGCATTTTTTCGAAAAGATGGTGTCAAAAGATTATGGATAAGTTTCTGTAAATCAACTAATAACCTCTTCTGTTTTGTTTGTTTGGCGTTTACTTCTCAAGATTCCGTTTTCATAAAAGGATTTGATGATTGGAAACATGTGTACCAAAGAATAAATGAACATGAAAATAGTCGCGCTTATAGTCACTCATCAGAAGCTTTTTTTCTTAAACTCCAGAATAGAGACATTAAAACGTTGTTGACAGTCAATCAAAACAATAAAAGAAAAGAATATGTTTAAAAAATAGACTTATTTTGGAAAGGATCATAGATGTTTTAAAGTTGATTGGAAAGAGAGGGTTGAGCTATAGAGGAAACAGAAATGAAGGGGCTCACTCGTTAAACAATAAAATATTAGACCACGGAAACATTTTAGAAATAATGATTTTACTAAGTAAATATGACCCAGTTATAAATGAACACTTTAATACCATAGTTGCTAAAAGTGAAACAAAGTTTCTTGCTGGTAAGAAGGGACGTGGAAATTTATTAACGTTTTTATCAAAAAATACTTTACAATCTATCATAACAATAATTTCTTCTTTGATATCTAATCAAATTGGAACAGGAATTAAAGAATCAAAAATGTTTTTTATTCTCATAGATACAACACAAGACATAACTGTAATTGACCAATGTTCTTTTGTAATAAGGTATGTTTCACATGATTGTGTATATGAAAAGTTAGTAGCTGTTAAACCATGTCATGATTCAAGTGGAAAAGGAATGTTAGAACTTCTTTTGAACACTCTTCAAAAATTAGAAATTAATGTAGAAAATTGTATTGGAAATTTGGCCGCTAATATGCAAGGACAGTATAAAGGAATGACAGCATTTTTTAGAAAATCATCCCCTAATCAAGTACATGAATGGTGTCATAGTCATATATTAAATTTAGTACTATGTGATACAACTAGAAATTCTCTTTTAGTTGCATCATTATTTGTATTACTTAGCAAATGTGCTCAGTTCTTTAAAGAATCATATTTGAGAATAGATGTATGGCGTGAAATAAATTTACAGGAATTTGGAAAGAAAAATAAAAAAAAAATACAATTAATTGGTGAAACTCGATGGTGGTCAAAACAAACCGCTCTTGAACACATTTTTGGTATATATAAAAATTCAACAGATTCAATGTATCCATGCCTCATTGTAGCATTTTCTAAAATAATTAATAACCAAAAATTCAATCCGGATGTCCGATTAAAGGCAAAGAATTTATTAAATTCGCTGTTAAAGTATGATACCATCTTGACAGCACATATTTTTTCAAAAATTTTTAGTATAACTGGCCCACTGTCAAAATATCTTCAAACTAGTGGCATAGATTTACTCAAATGCCAACAATTAGTAAAGGCAGCAATAAAACAATTAGAAACATTTAGGCGTGGAATGGAAGACATAAAAAAAACAAGTAATGAATTTATTGAGTGGGCAAATAATAAAATAGATCAAATTATGGACGATGAAGAAAATATTGATGGCGTAGCGCACAAGTGTGATAAGTGACATTTTCGTAATTGTTCAGGAGAACGATTTTTAAGTTTGAGATGTTATAACAAATTCAAAAATGTAACGAACTGTACGACATCTATCGGAGTAAATAATGAACTATTCACTTACAACGTTTGGGCATAATGTGCAGAATTGTATGATTAAATTGATTATGCACTTAACTTGTTTTTCAAAAAAATGTCACTTATCACACTTGTGCGCTACGCCATCGATATGCTGTGTATTCAAGAAAAATCTGAAGTAACACGTTTTAGGAAAAAAAAAAAATGCCTGATGAGAATTTGGATGATGATCCCATAAAAGATTCAGAAAAAAAATGTACAGTTGAAGTACATAACTATGTAATGGATACAGTAATTGAAAGTATGACATCAAGGTTTTCTAATAATAGTGAATTGTTGACAGACTTTGGCCCTTTTGTCACCTATACAATTTTTAGCATATAAGAAAAAATTACCACATCAAGCTTTTAAAACTTTGTAAAAAAAAATATTAAAATTTACCAACTTTAAAACTGAAGATGAAGTTTACAATCAAATTCATGAAGAGTTAATAAGTTTTCCAAATAACTGGGTATTTTTAAAAATGTCGATTGCAGATGAATATGAAATATTGAATTGGGAACTTGAAAATTACGAGGATGATTTGGAAGGTGTCTCTGAGAAAATAAGTGAAGTTAAGTGTAATAGTTGCAGAAACTGTACACTGGTGTTGTTACAAATTACTGATAAAATATAATTTATATAGCAAAGCTTATCAAGTACTAACAGTTGCTTATAAGTATTTATTGTGTCTGCCTGTTACCCAAGTTGCCTGTGAACGATCTTTTTCTACTTTAAAGTATATAAAAAATCGGTTGAGAAGTAAACTTAGCAATGAAAATACTGAAGCGTTTATGTTAATGTCAGTTGAAAAAGAAGTGTTGGTAAATATTGATAATGATTATATAATTGATTTACTGTCACAAAAAAGTAATCTTCTTTCATCATGTCTTTAAACGTTTAAAATGTGTTAACTTATTATTTATATTTAAAGCATAAAACTAATTATATAAGCTTAATTACTCTATATTCTTTTTGGTTTGTTTATTAGGCGTAAATAAATTATGATTTGTTATATAGAATTTCAAGCATAGTATTGCTTATTTATATTTTATAATTATGTTTAATAAATGGTTAATTGAACTTTTTTTTTTCAATTGTTTAAAGAGAATACATAGATATAGGCGTAACTAGGCCTTTAGGCTTAGAAATTGAATTGAGATGAAGTCTCATAAAAAATATTGATACTAATTAAGTCTATTTATTTTTTTATGTCCTCTTACATATAATATAAACTTAAGGGGATTGGAAGCGGCGATTTTCTGTCTTTGTCTAACACACGTGCAACATAGGATTATAGACGTGTTCTATTTCCAACGTACCGATTAATCTAGTGAAGCGATAAGAATTCTGAAAACAGATTTGAATTTGTCGTCAAATCTACTTGAGATCGACTTTCCCACATTTTTGATATTTTGATTAAAACTTCTCCAAAAATTGAAATATGGCAATTTTTTAATTACTCTTTTTAATATATCACTTTTAAGATTTTTGGGGGATAATATCAAAAATGTGGGAAAGTCGATCTCAAGTAGACTTGACGACAAATTCAAATCTGTTTTCAGAATTCTTATCGCTTCACTAGATTAATCGGTACGTTGGAAATAGAACACGTCTATAATCCTATGTTGCACGTGTGTTAGACAAAGACAGAAAATCGCCGCTTCCAATCCCCTTAAGTCGAAAAGGTTAAGTAAATAAATAATTATAAAATAAATTTGTAGTGTTTGTTGGGGGGGGGGGGATAAAACATAACCCTTATATAGTAACGCCTATGCCATAAAGCGTAAACATTGAAATGTGGCCTGGTGTAATAAATTTTCCCGGCCTGAATTTTTCTCCCAGGCCGTCCCTGATACCACTGTATAAGTAAATAAACACGATGTACAGCAACCATTATCATAGTTACTGAAGAAGGTTGGGTATCTAATATGACCACGACCTATTTCTATACACATCAAATAAAATAATCAACAATAATTATATATTATTCTGATATCACCAAATATCTAAAGAAGTTAGAAATTTAAAAATAATTTTTATCTATTTAAGGCAATTTATCTACTTTCAAAAATTTCAAGTGAGTACAAAGTACAATTACCAGAAACTAGGTAATAATTTAGCTTAAAATAGATTATTAAGTTAAACCTAGAAAAATTGACATCTCAAAAAGATGATTTTTATTTGAATAGCCATTGAGATGCTCTTATAACAATAATAAATTGGCACAACTCCAAACAAAATACATTAACCCTATACTTTTATTTCCAACAATAAATGCATATAAATCCACCAATTCTTAGTCCCTACAGTACTTTACATAATCATTAATTGTTGTCGCAGTCTTTTACATACATACCATATACTCCACGATAGTTAAGATCAAGACCAGTTAATATGAAAAATAAAAAAGGTTTTAGACAGCAAACTGGTCATGTTCTTAATATGTGCAGAGCAGTGGCAGACCGTGCTATGGTGCATAGAAGCACTCGAGTCACGAACCACCCAAAAAAATTACTTACAAATTATTAGATTCTTATTGTAAATTATAATTGGTCTGTAATAAAAAAAAATAATGATAGAAAAAAGTTTTTGCAGCTTTTTGTGTTGAAAAGTGTCTAATTAACGATTAAATTATTGAAGGAAAACACATTTTTTATGTTTCAGGTGGCCGTATAAATATTAGCTACATGCGTCGACATGTTGGTTAGTAATATAATGTTTGTTTGGAGTACATATAATGTATCCACCGGACCTATATTTTTATTGTGCAGCGCTGTCGAAAATAACACACCACCATACATTGGCCATGAATTCATAGGCGCAAATAGTGTTTGAAATTTGGGGGGGATGTAGTCTGTAGATCAGGTCTATACTTGATGCTTTTAGGATACTTTTAAATTATAGTAATGAAATCCATACTTTTTTGGAGGGCTTAGCACCCCTTATTTGAGCCTAAGCATGAATTACCGATTTAGATAAGTAATTAGTAGGTACATTATTTTGGGTATATCTATAACAAAATTAATATTTTTTTTCCATCTTACATAGGTATCTAAAAGATTTGTATACCATCTTATGTGAACCTCACGAGCCACCACTGGAGCAAAATATACATAATATTTTACACATTTCCAACATAGATTTGTTGTTTTTTATATTATCAAGTACCTACATTTATTTATCATCAAACATCAAGGTGACCGGGCAGCTGGTTTCTGACCACTGCTCTAGGTATACTCTGTTCTATCTAAGAGTGAACCGCTTTTGCGCACGCAGACTGAGCCGCCGAACAGTGTCTGACCCCCCATGCGATGGTTATGCGTTCTGTGATTGGCGGACAGTCATCGCCGGACGTCGGGCGCCCGTGTCAAAACTCTCACCGATGTACGGATTGTGGTGGGAATGCTTAGAAAAAACGTGATTTGGTCAGCCAAGTGGTTCACTCTTAGATGGAACAGAGTATAGGTAATAACGAAAACAATGAAACAATGTTGGTTAAGTGTAAGACAGTCAACAAGTCGGTGAGTGTTGTTCGCTTACTTAACAATTGTAATAGTAAATACTCACATTCTTGGCATGTTTCATGCCATATCTACTGACAAAGGGAACTTCTGGCTTAGGAATTATTTGAATATCATCTGGGTTGTCATCATTGCTGATTTCGGGCGAGTCATCATTGCTGATTTTGGGCGAGTCATCATTGCTGATTTTGGGCGAGTCGTCACCGCTGTACCCAGGAACGTTGTGATTTAGGTTGTTAGACATTTTATCTAATTGCCGCTGTTGCAACAGACGATCTGACGATGTAATATTATCTATAATTATTGTTATAATTGAAGTATAATAAATGATATGCTTACCAAACGATATATAAAAATGGCACCCAAAACTCCAAAACACTTAGATGTCTACAACGAGGAACGCGCAAACATAAACGCAATACAGGAGGAATAAATTATGTACTTGACTATAATTAACCTCTTGATTAAATTACACGAAAGCTACAGCCGCTGTTTGTATCGAGCTCGGCGTCGGTCGAAACAATGTGGTCCCGGCAGAAAGCTATGGTTTAAAGAGATAAAAGATTAAAGGCTAGAACTACACATGAGAGGGAGTGAAACGACGCACAATACTGTCAACGGACAACGATAGGCTGGAACGACCAATGGGAAGCGACGTAATATGATAAAAAACATGGTATGATTTTATCTCTAGACTGCCGGATCCTTCGGTAAGCACGTGATGTAGAGTAGAGTAATAATTTAAGGCGGGTTTCCACTATACACGTTTGCCGTGTACACGAAAAATGTTCAGCTATGTCCAACAACACGGTATCGTGGTTAATCGTGTGGTAACTTAACGTAACCAACCAATCACAGAAAAGGATTTGTATGCACGTGAACGAGTACGTGTATAGTGGAAACCCGCCTTTAGTAGTAATAATTTAATGACAATATGATAATACGGCACATGACAAAATAGATCTATTTTGTCATGATACGGCACAGGCGGAACTAAGAATTTTTACGCCCAGGGAAAATATTAAAATTACTCACAATCCTAGACCAAGATTGAAAATATAATATTCGTCTCTACAATTGTTTTATAATAACTGGAACTAAAATTACAAACATACTTATTGACTTTTAAACACATAATAATAAATAATAATTAATATATTCTGTGGACTGTGGACTGTGTAACCAAGTTTATACTAATAATATATTATATAAAAAAAGATTCAGATTTAAGTGATTAACACGTTTTCAATGAGTTGGACTAACCCACATAAAAACTTAACCAACATTAATTGGGTTAATGCTTTATAGATATAGGAAAAGGCCATAATTTATTCGTAAAAAATAAGCTTATTATTTTCTTTTGAGTGGATTTTTGAGTGGAAAAATAATCAAAACTTTAATTACCTGTCCTGTAAATAAAAATTAAAACACTTTCGCTGTTTTGGTTCTATGCGCCTCAGCACTCAATTATAATAGATTTTTATGGTGAAATATAAAATATAATCGCTTATAAGTTATAAGTTATAGTAATATAATATGGTATCCGCTTCTTTATTAGGCTTTTCCGGACGAACGTCATCAAACTCGTGATAACGACGACTACCATGACAAATAAATTATATAATTTATATATTTTATAATTATATAATCCATATAATTTAATTTGCCTTGTACCCAGTCACGACAACCGCATATCACCGTGATATAACGAGGCCCGAACACCAGACCGAATTGTCCTCACGGACGTCGGCCGGTCAAACTTGTGCCTCTCGCCAAATCATTAATCGTGGTATATTGGTTTGCTGCAGCAGTAACGTCGTGTACTGTGTAATAGCCGAACTACGTTTATAATAATTAAATATTAACATAGGTACACATATGTCAACATACCACGTATGGCCTGCAAAGGTGTTCTACGTGTCCCCTTACAAATATCTCAAAATAATATAAAATATAATTTTTTTTATTAGATTGTGAATTCTTTCAAGTATAAATTCCAAAAATACAATAAACATGATAATCGAAATATGTAAAGATTTTTACACCATTGGTTATAAATACTAGTACCTACTACTGCACTAGTATACCTATTTAAAATCAATGTTAACATTTATTTTCAGTATGAAATTTGTCATTGTAAATCGTTCACTATAATGATGGGTACCTACTAATAATTGATTGGTTGGAATTCTTTTGTTCCAAATCTTAAAATTAAATTAAGGTGCTCATCTGTCCCTCGATCTATAAAATGATTTTGTATATTTCACTACACACAAGACAAACGGCTTCTCATTGTACTCAATAAAAAAGTAATAATTTATTGATAATTTTTCATTAAAAATACGACAATCCTCACTTTATTTACGTTTTTGGAATGAATATCTTGGACACAAGTACACAACTTTTGTTTGTCACCACCATATAGAAACGTAAATCAAAATTTATTCTAAAAATTAATCAATATAAATACATAATAGCATGCTACTAGACATTTTTTTCTCCACTACCTAGTAGGTGGGTAACTTGGGTACCCTACAGGCTACAACAAATATATTATATAAATTAGGTACCACGGAATTCACAAAAAATATGGAAATCAAATATTCGCTAATACTTTGCAGAATTTATACAGTCTATACACTGCAGCGGTAGCGTTTACGGCAAAATGAGTCCCGACACAATTTTACCTCCATCGCGGCGGTACCGCCAAGACAAAAGAATTTTACTGCCACCTCATGCAGTGTGTGGTGACCTTTAAGGTTAAAGAATACTTTTATTTTGTATTCGGAAAACGTATTTAAATAAATGAGTACTACAATAGGTTTTCCGCATGAATTAAAAATAATACCTATATTCTGTATACCTATATAAATATTTTTTTTCACCTCTAATTCACCGTCGATTCTTGAATAGTTGAAAATTAAATATTCTATAGGAATCTATACTTGATAATATTATCTAATCGCAGTTCAGGTGGTTATGAATCGAGAATATAATGTATAAAATTCATAGTATTAACTATTAGATTCTGAGTGAAACGATGAATGTATTGATTTTACAATGATGTGTGTTTTTTTTGTTTATTTTTTTATTTTTTAATTTTTTATTTTTGTGTCTGCCATCAGTCATCACGTTTTAGAACAGTAAAAGTGCTTGGATTTTCTTCAACAGTAGCTTCTCTGATAGGAAAGTGAATCTAGTTGGTACTTTGGAGGGGTCAAAAGTATAAATTTCACAGTAGTTTTCACAAGCGCCGGGAAAAACAACATAAAAATTAAGGAAAAACGGGAATTTTTACGCAAAATCGGTTTTCCAAAAAATCGATTTTGGTTTTTGGTGTTACTCCTAAAGAAATGAATGTAAATACACGAAATGTGCACTGGTTGTTTATATTTGCATTTTATATACACGATAATATTTTCAAAATATTTTGAACTGTTTAGGGACATTTTCATTTTCATTTTCCATTTTTGTTTAGTATTTTTTCTAGAAATATCAATAAAATTTTATTTGTTGGTTCCGAAAGCTTTAAAATTTAAAAGAAGGCTCCTAGTATATTGTTTCAAAGGCAGATGAAAAATATTAAAAATCCTTAGTCACAATTTTGTTTTATAAGCATTTAAAGTTCAAAAATTGACAAAATATGGAAAAATCACGAAAATTAGCAAATTATTTTGAGTTAAGAATTCGTAGAAGTTTTTCTTTTTAAATCTAAGATTTGAAAATGTAATACAAGATTCCTTATAAAATTATCTACCTTTATCAAAAAATAAATATCTATAAGAAAGTCAAATTAAATTTTTATGAGCGTTTGAAATTCAAATTTTTACAACATTGGATATTCACTCGATTTCTCATGTATTTCCTTATTTCGTAGTAATTGTAAAACAAATAACTGTAGATATATGAAAATTTCATTTAATGTTTATATTAGCATTTCCTATACACTATACAATTTTGAAAATATTTTGACTTTTTGAGCTGTTTACGGACATTTACAGTTTTAATTTTTTTTAGTTTTTTATTCTATAAATATCAATAAAGTTTTATCTGTTGGGCCAAAAAGTGTAAAAATTTAATACAAGGCTCCTGATATATTGTTACAATATCAGTTGAAAAATATTAAAAATACATAGGCACAATTTTTTTTGATAAGCATTTAAGTTCGAATTTTGACAAAATGTATCAAATTTAAAATTGAATAATTATTTTTTAGTTAAAAATATATAAAATGTTCAACTTTTATATCTAAGGATTGAAAATTTAAAACAAGATTCCACGTAAGTAGTCAATTCTGTTACACAAAAAATCTAAAAAATACAAAAGCAAATTTTATTTTTATAGTCATTTTAAGTTCAAATTTGGGCGAAATTACATAACAAAAAACCTAGAATAACTATTTTAGTTATTTTGTTGTGATTTTATAATATTATTCGTTGGTACTTGAAACTTCTAAAGTAGGTACACTATTATAATATATCTATGATAGTATCAGAGTTTGTTGTTGATGTTTAACCCGTTATAAGTACCTGATGAATATTGTGATATGATTAATTTGGAATTTATTATAGGTACCTATTATAGGTCAATTTTTTTTAATATTATAGATAATTATATAATATATCTTACCTATATCGTCTCCGCTCAGAATCGTTTTTCTTGTACAATGATATTAAATCATTGAATTCAAATTTAATACCATCCATTATACATTGACCCACTTTAACCTACTGTACAGCAGAGCGACATCCACTTACCAGGGGCGTCATTTGGGGGGGTGCAGGGTGTACATTTGCACCAACATTTTTTATAAACGCCTTCTTTGGCCTGCCAATAATAAATATAAGCGCCGATATACCTAAGTGTTATATATTAATATATTATATATATTTTATATTTTTTCAGTATTTAAAAAAAAATAATAAATATTATAGGTACTAATGGGTTTTATTTCCAAAAATGATCGATGTGGTTGTGTGGTTATATCATTGACATAATATAAAATAATAATAATATAATTATGTCTATGGGTTATATATATTTTTTTATTCTCTACCATGATATTATTACCATCGAATATATAATAAATCTGTGGGTATAATATTATGCTGGTATAGATTTCTTATCACGCTTTGGCAGGCATGTAGCCAGGGGGGGGCCTGGGTGGGCCGGGCCCACCCTAAATATACTCTGGCCCAAGGCCGGCCCCCCCAAATTCAAAATATAATTATTTTTACCAATTTT